ACACCGAATAGTTTGTTTTAACAATTATTATCTTTTCGTAGGATACATCAGAGATGTCAGCGAAAGTTATGCGATATGTATACATGTCATGACCTTGATGATATTCATTACATTTATTGCGTGGAGTTTGGAATACATTTATGATGCATTTAGGAGGAGGAGATCCTTTAAGCATCGTGTTAAGAGTGCGAAAACAGAAGCAATATAAGTGTCAAATACATATAAATTGTAACATCATCCTTTATGATCGCAAGAAAAAAATATTTTACATACACATTTAAAAGATGTTCCACACATAAGCGATCAAACGTTGATATTATGTTCTATGAGAAACAATAACAAAACGCTGTTACACAAACCAGAAATGCATTTAATAAACAGTGTGGACGATTGATACTGTAATCGCTGCATTCTTGTGACGAAGTATTTCCAAAATATTTCGATAGAACATACACATTTGATAGTTCAACGCATCAACAACTCATCGTACACTCTACTGCACTTGTCGCAATGATATTTTTATCAACATGAATGTATAATAATAAGATAGTCTTGAAAAATAATTAAAGAAATACAGAGTAAACGTAAGTAATATGGATCATCTGATTTCAAATGCTTGGCAAGAATAGAGAAATTTTATCTGTATAATGAAATTTATGATACAGGATTTCTGAACTAATGTACTTATTGTATAATACAATTCGAAAGTGTCATGAAGCTGCTGTGGCTTTTACTACAATAGTATCGGAATAATAATCACATTTACAAAGTAAAATTGTTACAATTTCAAATAAATATAGCGTAACCAAGTTCCATTATCAATTATAAATAAATAAGATGCATTTATTTGACGAAGAAACATAGAAATACATTCTTGCAAAGAATATTTCAAAATATGAATAGCTTTATGAAAATTTCAGAACGTTATTATTTTATTCGAATATACAGTACAATAGTTCGTGACTTTTCTTGCCAGACTGCGGATTTTGCGCATTTAAGACCACACAAAATGGAATGGTGAAAGTTGAAATAGTGAAAAATTGTTGATATACGGTTGGTGTTGAATGTATTTGTACAGCTTTTAAAACAAAACGAGACCTACAAAACGCATTTTTTAAATTTTCGTAGTAGACTCGGATAAAAAAGTTGAAAAAACATCATTTTTTAATTCTTTTATCATCCCAACCAATCGCAATTTTCGAAAACATTTTTAAGGCATTGTCTAATAAACTTCTACCATCCCAAAAAATTCAGATCGCTTGGTCCAATTATGAAAAAGTTATTCAGTTTTGAAAAGTGTACGCATATTTTGTACTCAACTTACTAAAAATTATTTATGAAAGAAAGGAATTTGATGCCTATATCTTGCGATTGATGCAAACTATTGCATAAAAATCCCTAGTCTACTTATTACTGTCAGTACTTATTGAACACATCATATTTAGTGAATATTTTGTAACTCGGGCAAAAAATAACGAGTTGTAACAGTTTCTTACTAGACTTAGTAATGTATTTGAAATTTTTAGAAGTAAACATTGATATTTATAACTATTGTGT